TCACGATGTTCTCCGAACATTACATAATATCCCTTCTCGTGAGAACCAGAACATAAAAAAACATACCTTGGAAGAGATAAGTGTGCGCAGGTTCAACTAAAATCACCCGAAGAAGATATTCGAATGAATAAAACGTACACAAAACGTACATTTGTAATTTTGGTGAAGGCACATTTGAAATTTTGGTGAAGGAACATAATCCACCATTTTATTCGACAACAAAAAACGCTCATCCTCAAGATCCTGATAGCATAATGAAACAAAACTATTAAATTATGGTATACAGGGTGTTTCACAGGTGAAGGGAAATATTTCAATGGTAGATAGGGGTCACCAAGGTGGTTCTGAAAATACCATATTTGATAGGTCTTAGAGTTTTCATAACGGAGATACAGGGCGATTTATCGATTTCGAATTATTATTCATTCGTCTATATAAGTATTGAATTACCCAGTATATTTTTCTAAAATTTGGTATGGAGCTTAAACTTGGGACGTTGAATTCATTCACCTATCGGGCGAAGTGAAAATCCAGGTTCGTCTTCAGGAAAAATTTACATTTATTCGAAATATTAAAATAACACACTGTATGTAATAATTGACAAATTTCATCAAAGAAATCGTGAAGAGGAGGAAAAACTGAACTGGATTTGATGCTTTTTGTTTTCCTGCCCCCAATTCTCATCGTAACAATCATAAACAGGAAGCTGAAAGTATGTCGATTTCAAGAGTATTAAAATTATGAAACCACTTCCAATTATGATTATTTGATAAATTCTTGTTAAATGATCGTTCGAAAGAACTTACTTAGTCTCACGTCTCACAGTCTTCATAACAGAGATACAGGGTGAATTATCACTCGTCCATTAGTATTAAACTACCCATCGCAGTAATATTTTCTCAAATTTTGTATTGAGCTTACTTGGGACGATGGATTCATTGACCTATCAGGCAGAATGGAAATACAGGATCAGCTTCAGGAAAAGTCTCATAGTCTTAATAACAGAGATACAGGGTGAATTATCGAATTATAATTCCGCCTGATCGGTTAATGAATCCATCGTCCCAAGTAAGCTACATACCATATTTGAGAAAATGTTACTGGGTAGTTTTATACTTATGGACGAGTGAATAATTATTCAAAACCGATAATTCACCCTGTATCTCCGTTATAAAAATTGTGAGACTAAGTAAGTTCTTTCGAGCAATTTTTTGACTAAAATATATCGAATAATCATAATTGACTCTGGTTTCATAATTTCAATACTCTTCGAATTGACATACTTTCAGCTTTCTGTTTATGATTGTTACGATGAGAATTAGTGGCGGGAAAACAAAAAGCATCAAATCCAGTTCAGTTTTTCCTCCTCCTCACGATTCCTTTGATGAACTTTGTCAATTATTACATACAGTGTGTTATTTTAATATTTCGAGTAAATGTAAATTTTTCCTGAAGCCGAACCTGGATTTTCACTTCGCCCGATAGGTGAATGCATTCAACGTCCCAAGTTCAAGGTCCATACCAAATTTTAGAAAAATATACTTGGTAGTTCAATACTTATAGACGAATGAATAATTATTCGAAATCGATAAATCGCCCTGTTAGAGTTATGAAAACTCTAAGACCTATCAAATATGGTATTTTCAGAACCACCTTGGTGACCCCTATCTACCATTGAAATATTTCCCTTTACCTGTGAAACACCCTGTATAAGTTTCGATTTAATTCAAAGAGTAATATACTAACATACAAAGTACATAACCAAGCTAATGAAAACGTGGTAATAAAGAAACCACATCGCCCACACATAAATTTTGAAAAATGGCCATTCCCAATAAAATATACCTTGGACTCGTGATCTATTCTATTTTAAAATCGCGCCGATATTGATGATTATTATTACGAGTGCTGCGTTCGAATCACATGTTTTGGAGATCCATGTACTTCTATATTCTATTTTCAGTCGACTGGATTCTCTAAAAATACCTTGGCCATTCATGCCCAAAAAATCAAAAAACGGAACTCACGTGGGTTTCACTGTCACGTGTACAAAACAAACTGCGATCACATCAAATTTTCTAAAACTGAATCAGTATTTTGTGATCCTCATCTTTACTAGCACTGAAGATGGGTAAGAAGATATTTAGCATTTTTCAGAACGTCGAGAAGAATCAACAAATTCTACAGTTTCAATCATCATTCTCTTCAAGAGTAACGAAACATATGCTTTTTGATAATCTATCTTTCCGTTTCTTATCCTGTTTTCATTGAAATATACAATCAACTATACAGGGCGGTCCACTTTATAATAGCAAAATATCGATAATTGATAGGACACCATATTTTGAGAATATACTTTCTATGAATTTGAACATTAAAACATTGGTGTTCATGTTGAAAGAGAATATAGATTTTTCTTCAATTACTATAGAAAACGGCTCGACAAAATTACGAGATATCCTGGTAGCCTAATAAGTATACCGGGTGATGCAAGGTATCAAGCCACCCCTATAAATTCTGCATTGTTGAACGGATTTTTCTAAAATATTAGAATAGCATAATCATTGGCGATATCAAAATTATGCCAAGAAATTGATAACTTGAGTCTGGCAACAGTGGTTGTAGACCTTATTTACACCATACTGATATGAATTTTGTTGAAGGTTTGAGAGGTTAGACCATATACAGGGTGATCCACGGTGGATGGTCTATTAAAAGTATCTAGAGAACGAAAAGACAGAACATTCTGAAAATTGGGATGCTCTGATAATTGAACATTCTCAATCCGTCTAGAATATTTTAATCGATACAGTGTTGCCACTTCTATCAGGAACAACTAGCAACTTCGTTATTTTGAATGGAGCACCCTGTATTGCATTTTTAGATTCTTCCTGAAGAGTTGATTTCATCAATGTATCACAGTTGGGGTTTAGCAGGAATAATTACAGAGATAAAGGGTGTTCAAAATCGAGATTTTTCAATTTTAGGATTTTTTTGTGTCGAAAGTATTCTTTATCGATCAAAACGGCTTTCATGTCCCTATCACAACTTTCGATTCACTATCTACTGACATTTAATTGGAACAGATACACTGTAATCAGAATTCTGAATCTTGATGCACCCTGTATTTTTTCCTATTAAATTCCAGTAGATAGTCAATCAAAAGTTTAGATAGGGACATGTAAGCCGTTTTGATCGATAATGAATAGTTTCACACAAAAAAATACTAAAATTGGAAATCCCGATTTTGAACACCCTATATCTCTGTAATCATTTCTGTTAGACCCCAAATGTGATGCATTGATGAAATCAGCTCTTCAGAAAGAATCTAAAAATGCAACAAGATACAGGGTGCTCCATTTGAAATAACAAAGTTGCTAGTTGTTTCTGATAGAAGTGGCAACACTGTATCGATGAAAATATTTCAGACGGATAGAGAATGTTCAATTATCAGAGCATTCCAATTTTCATAATGTTCTGTCTTTTTGTTCTCCAGATACTTCTAATAGGCCATCCACCGTGGATCACCCTGTATACTGACAGCTTTCTTTTTATTCTATTTTCGGATACGTAGGCGTGAAGGTAACTTATCATAGACAAATATCCCCAAATGTCACTAGATCTCCGTCATAACTTTAAATTTCTGTATTTTGAAAATTATAATAATTTTAATAGCCATTTCAGATGTCAAAAACCTAATATTATAGGTATAGTTTTGAATAATAATATGATAATTCGAGAAACTTCCTCAAAATGAGTTGAACTTTGCTTTTACCACTCCATTCCACTTAGCCAAGTATGAGTGATCAGACATATTCAAATTTTTTCCAGCTTTATTATTGATCTTCATTAGATGCTGATCTGTGTAGCCACATTGGTCAATACATGACTATTTTTTTCATTATTGATATGCCACAGAAATACTTTTACCATTTCTGCGAGTATTGCAAGCATGATTTTTCAATGTATGTCGAAGGGTGATGTAAAATCAACAATACATTTTTCTCCGTGAATACGGTATGGGTTTTATTGAAGGTAACGAATTTTGAGACATCGATCTTCATTACATTGATTTGATTTTACTTAGAATGTACTTTGAAAATGGGGCTATATATTGATTCATAGAAAATAATGAATTTTGAGACTAATTAATTTCGTTTTCAGCAACGAATTTGGGAGATATGTAGGCATGTCTACATGTTGATCTGAATCTTGTTTTTCTTGTAATAACTCGGCCGTTACTTTTCCCCAGGTTTATTTCCCATCATTATTTCTCAGAAAGTACTGAACTTATTTGTATGAGAAAACAATGAAACATACACTCCTTATTCATATAGAGATGATAGATTCCAAATAGAAACGGTTCAGAGAACGTTAAGTGTATTCATAGAGGTACATACATATTCATCATAGGCAAGTATACATACAAATACCCATATTATTTGTATCTGACCGCTAAATATACTTTCTACGGAGCGCAGATACGGTCTGTTCTAGAATACTGTTCCCACATATGGGGTTCAGCACCAAAACATACGCTGATGCTCTTAGATTCCATCCAGAGAAGAGCAATTAGCCTGGTGGGTGACGCCACACTCACTCACTCTTTGACATCATTGGAACACCGTAGAATGGTTGGCGACCTTTCACTTTTCTATCGATACTTCAACGGGAAATGTTCTTCAGAAATCTCTGCTATCATCCCTTCACTAGCAATACCAGTCAGACGAACTAGAAAAGCCCAGTCAGCACACCCTTTCGTTGTCAACCTCGAAAGATGTCAAACAGCACTTCCCAACAACATATAATCTCCAGAAGTTCAAAGAAAATTCCAATACCTACCTCCTGTCCCTATTTTTTCTAGGAACGCACGATGTTCTTTGAACATTATAGGGATTTCCTTTCGTGCGCTCCAAGCGATGAAAAAAAAAAACGGGAATTGGTAGAGAGTCAAGATATAGTGATTAATCCTAAATCTCTAGTAAAACTCTTTTTTTCAGATGAACAAAGTGACAGTGAAGAATCAAACACCACTACAGCTCCCAGGCTGTCTAAAGCCTACCAACAGAAATCCCAGTACAACAAAGTTCCCTATTCTAGTCAATCCACACCAAGGAGGAGGTACCAACATGACGGTACGAAATCCACTAGGAGCAGTAGCACTGCTAGCGAAAATAAAATCACTTTTAACGAAGGTAAGTCGACGAAGACTTCATCCTAATTTCGTGTAAAATCTGTCAAAAATCTATGATCCATGATGTAGATTCGTATGTAAAAGAAGAATAGGGAAGTTTTCTATATTGATCAGGTTTTTATCTCAATGTGAAGTTCGTGAAGTTTGTAAAAAATTAATATACAGGGTGTTTCATGCGAAGACTCACATAGCCAAATGGTTAATAGGGGAAATCAAGACGAGTTGATGTATATACAGTATGATGCAAATGTATGGAATAAATTCATTTCAAAACAAGACGACTTTCGAAAAAAAAACAAAAACTAGAGTTTAGAACTTTTTTTTCGACGTATTTTTTCAACTAGACGACCCTTCGATGTTCAATTCTCAGTAGCAGACCTCTGCAAGATTCAATTAATCACATGATAATCCATTTTAATTTCAATCTTCTTATGCAACATTTTGACTGTTGAATAGACGATCGGTAGACCTTTCAATCAAGGTGTCACATGACCCCTATTTGTATTTGAAAAAATCGTCCATTACGTCTTTACTCCAACACCGGTGACTTAACATCTCTCATATGAATATCATGAGATGAGGCTTCAGAAATTAAAACTCACGTGTTTTTGGAATTTTTTCAAATGTCACCCATTTCTGAAATAATGAATTTATTCCATACATTTGCATCATACTGTATATGAAAACATTTTTTGACCCTCCATAACGAAGATACAGGGTATTATGTGAAATTGCTATATAACTTTGATGGCCGATAAATTATCATCAATCTCACATTCAGTTCATTCCCATTATGGCCAAATTCAATAAATTCATGTTGTTCCAATATATTGGATATTTTACTAATTGGGCTCCTCTTCGATAAAAAAATAATGCATTAAAGTTGTGTGACCTCTGGACGCTTCCTTATTGAACAGTCAAGATTCAATACTATATTAATTATTTTTTGATAAAAGTTTCAATGGAAGCTAAAAACAGATTCAAGGATGTACGAGCACGTATTTATGGAACTCACTGTACCCCAAAATAAAAGTTGTAGATTAATTTACATGAAAACCTACCTACTTAACACTCCAAACTCTGATTGTGAAGCCGTAAATCATTCTGTAAACATCTCGTCTTGTATAAATTGCATCACACAATGATTTATTAATCGTAACAGATAATACTCGTCATGTGGGTCAAGATATGTAATAATAATATGCTCGTATATAGATATTTTACTTGATTTTTTAAGATTTTCTCTCCTCGTTTCTATAAAAATATTCGTTTAATTTCAATATAGTGGGACAACTCAGATGATTTGCCCCAAAATGTCACTGCGTTTGAAAAACTTTTTTATCAGGGAGCATGAAATAAAAATCCAGTAGCTTTTCAGTGAAAATTTGTTTTAAAAAATGTTTGAAGGAAAGAAATATAGATATATTGTAGATTGTAGATGGGTCGTATAGGCTGGGAGACCTCTCGATCACTGCGACCTAGAAGATCGATTGTGATTACCTCTATCTAGTTTTGGGCCTCTAACCCAAAACCCAAGACTTCTGATGAAGCCTACAATTTTCCTGACGGTTGAATTTTCCACTTCAGCAGGGGTGAGATAGACCTGTTCTAGGTGGTTCAGCCTTTGGCGGACTAATACTTCACATGAGCAAAGTATGTGTTCCGCGGTTTCGGTCGCATTGTTATAAAAGCGGCAAGTGTCAGTCTCCGCCAGGCCCATCTTCTTGAGGTGGTACCTCAGAGGGCCGAGTCCTGTGAGAAAGCCTGTGATAAGCTTTAGGTCTGGTTTGCTGAGGCTGAGTAGCTCTTTGGCTCGGTTCTGCGAATGGTTGATGAACCTTTTCGCTTGTCGTTGACCTGGAGTTGCTCTCCAGTAGGAGGACTTTTCAATTTCTTCCCATTTCCTGAGTTCTCCCTTTAGGTGACATTTACTTATCCCACAAAAAGGCTCAGGACCAGAAAGTGCAGATGCTGTACCTTTTTTGCAAGGCGATCAGCTGCCTCATTTCCTTTGATTCCTTCATGCCCTGGAACCCACATAAGTGTGACTTTGTTGTCCTTTCCCAGTTGCATGAGTGTTTCAAAGCAGTCCCATGTAATCTTTGATGTGAATATAGATATTTTGAAGAAATATCGAATCTTTACTCATCTTTGGCCGTTTCGGGACCGAATCTGCTCCCGTTCTCAACATGAAAATGCAAAATATTTCTCTTTGGAAGTTGTGCTGCTTATATAGTTTGACAGTTTTCAGTGTCATACTGATGTTGGCATATGAATGAGTGATTTTAGTCTACAGTATGACACCGAAAACTGTCAAACTATAACCAGCACAACTTCCAAAGAGAAATATGTTGCATTTTCATGTTGGAAACGGGAGCAGATTCGGTCCCGAAGCATCCAAAGATAAGAAAAGATTCGATATTTTTTCAATATATCTATATTTCTTTCCTTCAAACATTTTTTCAAACTAATTGTCACTGACAAACTACTGGATTATTCTTTTAGACTCTCTGATAAAAACATTTGTTAAACGCAGTGACATTTTAAATAAAATCGGATCATAATTATTATATATTACAAAGCTCGTTCGCCATATTAGATCCGCCATCTTGAATTTCCCAATTTTGACGAAAAAATCATAATCTCCGACCCCAAAAACCCCCAGATACAAATTTTGAATAGAATCGTATCATGATTATTACAAAACTTGTTCGCCATATTCGATCCGCCATCTTGAGTATCCAAAGTTCGAACAATAATGAAAATCCTACAGAATGTATTGGCCAAATTCGGTTACCGGCACCTACACCAAAATAGTTCAAACTCATTTCTATTTCTTCAAACGGAAGAAAATCTTATGGAATAACAAATAGAAAATCTTCTCTCACAAATTCAAATGTTCTTTGATATGCTTCCATTCGTTTGGAAAAATATATGTCATCTTAGACTGACCTACTTTCATTCATGTTAGCTAAATAACATGATTGTAAAATTCTTGTTGGGCAGATAGATAAAGTTAGGGAAGAATGGTTGAAACGAAGTCTTGCAATTGAAAATTTTCAGTACAAGACACATCAATAGCACAATAGAATGAATTTTACAATAATTACGTTAAATAAGAATGACCATCATACTCCTGCCCTATTAATTTTATTAACTAATAGACAATGGGAAAACAGATGTCGAACACGAATATGAAACCATGTCATGTTAACCATCTATTATTCTATTATCTCATATATTCTTATTCCTGAATTGCATTATTGAACACGAAGAATGAAAGTTTGTCATAGTCGATGGCACGCAACAATAGAAAAAAGAAGGAATTAGTCGATTCTTGGAAATATTCAGAAGCGTAATTTCAGATTTTACCACTAGGGGAGGGGGCCAAAGCCCTGAACAACAATTTCATTCATATACTTGAGAAAAAAATGTAAAGTCCCACTATAATTTTCACCTGTACTACTTGATTCTGAATTTTGATCGTATACTTATTAGATACCCTGTACAGTGTGTCCAGTTTTCGATGCTTTTGCGATATCTCAGTTATCTTTGGAGATATAGTGTTGCGGGTTTCACATAAGTTCCATACTGTCTTGTGAAACGAATAATGCCGTAATCCAAATTTGGCCCTTCAGGCTCGTGCCACAACCTTTCACACTCGTGAGAAAAGTTGAACTTTTCCCACTTGTTGCATAATACTATTCCGGCATTATTCACAAAAAGGCAGTTATGTGAAAACACTCTATCTCCAAAGATAACTGAGATATCGCGCAAAAGATGGCTGAAGCATAGAAAAATGGACACTTGACATGGGAATATAAAGAATTGCAAAGTTTATGGAGAATATTTTTGTGAAAAAAAGTCCAATCATGAATTGGAGTAATCGGATGAATATTTTTTCAGATGAATACACTCGAATCACGACTCCTAGGCAAGATGTTCTATTTAAGAAGGGTTACCTGAACAAGCCGAGGAGTTACCAGACCCAAACGTCTACGGGTACTTCCACAACGGGAAACTCCACCGGAAACGGAACTCCCGATCATCAATCGACAGGTCAGCCAACATTCAAATCGTTCTATACTTCCCGACATTTCGAGAGTGCGGCAGCTAAGGTAGCGAGTGGAGTTAGTAACAAGCTCTACAGCTTGTAACGCATTATTTGGAATACTTCGGGTTGAATTACTTCGTTCGAGGAGGGATATTTCAATGATTTATTTTTCGGGTACTGAAAAGGAATTTTCACAGATATTTTATGAACAGGAACAAATGGATACATATAAACAAAAAACCCACATTGAGAATTCGCATTCTCTATATGATAAAAATATTGATTCTTTTTCATTATATTCATCAAAAAACAACTACTTTTCTCGCAATAAGCCACGACGACAATAGATATTTATGCAACGTTAGAAAACGCACCAGTTACACAATATACAATATTTTTTGTAATTTTGATGAAAAATTTCGTTTGTACAAAATCAAGTAGGCAAGATGACTTCGCCTGTCATTTTGAAGTATCCGTCAAAATGGCTGATTCAAGTTAAGATTTCCCAAATGATATCGAAGGAGCAGCAAAAAATACACTCTTTCTGATTTCTTTCCAGGTAGGGTACCTCCTCCTTCTCTATTATATGTGCTCCTAGGTTTCTTGCCCTTGGGCTCTGTGAGTATGTGGATAGAGGATTCCTACTCCTCCCCACAGATCCTGCTTCATCTTCCTCTGTTAAACCTGGCTTCTTAAGAGGTCTCCCCACAGATCCTGCATTCATCTTCCTCTGCTGAGCCTGGCTTCTTAAGAGGTCTCCCCACAGATCCTGCATTCATCTTCCTCTGCTAAGCCTGGCTTCTTGAGAGGTCTCCCCACAAATCCTGCATTCATCTTCCTCTGCTAAGCCTGGCTTCTTGAGAGGTCTCCCCACAGATCCTGCATTCATCTTCCTCTGCTGAGCCTGGCTTCTTAAGAGGTCTCCCCACAGATCCTGCATTCATCTTCCTCTGCTGAGCCTGGCTTATTAAGAGGTCTCCCCACAGATCTTGCATTCATCTTCCTCTGCTAAGCCTGGCTTCTTAAGAGGTCTCCCCACAGATCTTGCATTCATCTTCCTCTGCTAAGCCTGGCTTCTTAAGAGGTCTCTCCACAAATACAGCATTCATCTTCCTCTGCTAAGCCTGAGTTCTTAAGAGGTCTCTCCACAAATCCTGCATTCATCTTCCTCTGCCCTGTTTGGACTCCCGTTAGTATACGAAATTTATTTCTGCTTAGGCTGACATATCCGTTCGATCTTTTGAGGTTTTTTATATCCAGTAGAAAATCTTAGCCTGTCTTGGACCTTGAAGATTTCCCCAGATGTCTTATCTCTGTTGAACGTCTCCTCCTCTGATTTCTTCTGATACAGTACTGCTGCTGATCCTGTAGAAAGGATCTGGCCCCACGAAGGGTGTTTAAGCTCCTTTTCTAGAGAGTTTGTCTGATACTTCATCTACTTCATTTCCTTCTCCTCCGGAATGTCCCGGAATCGATAGAAGGGTGACAATTTTTGTTAGCTAGCTCGTTCATTTTTTCCCGGCATTCTCAAACTATTTTAGAGCTAATAACCATAGAGCTCAGCGCTTTAATAGCTGCTTGACTATCGGACATGATGATATCTCGTCTCTCATAGCTGTTTTCTAGATTGAAATGTATACATTTTCCTATAGAGTGAACTTCCGCCTGGAATATACTTAAGAATTTGCCATGCCAAGTACTTGGTAGAAGACTCGTGGACTTCAATTCCAGTTTCATCTTTGGGGTTTTGGAGCCATCTGTGTACCACTTTCTGAATCCTTCTTTAAGGTAAATTTCTGATCTCATCCTGAAGCAAATCCTGGATTTAATAACATAACCTGACTTTGATCCCTTCTTCGTTAATCATTCAGTATGTCGTTCTCTTTCGCGCGATCTCTACAACTAATTGTAGAGGAGAGAGGTCTATAAATCAGCCAGTTTCATTAAAAATAAACATTTGTTTTTTTTCTCCCCAATTCTTGCCATTACAAACATATGTTACCTACCTCGCTCTTGCATCGTTTGAATCGCCATCATGAATAGAATGGTGAACATTTATTGTTTTTCTTTTGTTACAGATTTAGAATACGAATCGCAGTTTGTCTTCCCGAATGGTTTTGTTGATCAAAACGGAATATATTACGTAAACAGTAAGTACAGAACAATACACATTGATAATAATATGCTAGAATATGACGTCAACATATTTTTTCTTTGCTTGCTCCTGATCTTTACACATTCAATATTCAAAGCTTTTCACAACCTCGGAACTTGGTATCACTAAGAATCATTATTCTATTGAAAACTTGTAATAACTATGACAATATTATTTGAATGGCCTCAGTGCAGATATAATCACACTTCAAACGTGAAGAAGAGTGTACAAGGAGGTGTATACTATATTTTTATCAACTCGAAACATAGCCGTTACTTTATGGAAATTCATATAGTAATTGTGAAACGAAACGTTTCGCTCACACAATAGCTTCTTCAGGTGGATAACTCGCACAATACAAACGAGTACGACCTATTGAATCATTATGTATTTTCTTTTATATATCCGTGGAAATCTTATCGGTTGTAGAGTTTTCACGATGTATAACTGTTTTAAGATGAAATTACCTCTTCAAGAAATGAGTCAACTGAAAGGTAGATTGTACAATTCTACACTCATTCTCATATGGAAACTGTCTTGTTCATTTCAGACGTATTAGTCCAAGAGCCGACTGCAAATTTTGACACTGGTTCATCGGATATTATCTTTCAAGAGGGTCGAAATATTCTCGAAATATTCTCTGCCACTAACTTAGCTCAGTTTCAATCGCGGCACGTTTGGATATTCCCAAAGGGGACATTATCTCCTTTGGCTCATGATGGTGATTGGCACAGGTGGCGTTCGATAACATACAATGTTTTTACATGCTTGGAAGATATAAAATTTCATTATCAGATGAAGTTCGACATTTGCAGTCGGCTCTCCTACTATACAGGGTGGCTCACGGTCGATGGTACCTTAGACGTATACGAAAAACGGTACATTGGATCATCCTGAAAATTTGGTAACTCTAATAAGCGTTTGTGATCTAACGATTCAAATTATTTTCAGCGATGCAGCGTTGCCACTTATACCAAAAAGAAGCATCATCTTTGTTATTTCAAATGGAACACCCTGTATTTTATTGCGTTTTTTGATTCTTCTCAAAGAGCTGATTTCATCAATGTATCACACTTGGGGTCTAGCAGGAATTATTACAGAGATATAGGGTGTTCAAAATCGAGATTTTTCAACTTTAGGATTTTTTTTGTCGAAACTATTCATCATTGGTCAAAACGGCTTACATGTCCCTATATTAACTTTCGATTAACTATCTAACGACATTTAATTGGAAAAAATACAGGATGGTCCAAGATTCAGAATTTTGATCACCCTGTATCTGTTCCAATTAAATGTCAGTAGATAGTGAATCAAAAGTTGAGATAGGGACATGTAAGCCGTTTTGATCGATAATGAATAGTTTCGACACAAAAAATTCCTGAAATTGAAAAATCTCGATTTTGAACACCCTATATCTCTGTAATAATTCCTGCTAGACCCCAAGTGTGATACATTGATGAAATCAGCTCTTCGAGAAGAATCAAAAAACGCAATAAAATACAGGGTGTTCCATTTGAAATAACAAAGATGATGCTTCTTTTTGGTATAAGTGGCAACGCTGCTTCGCTGAAAATATTTTGAATCGTTAGACAAACGCTTATTAGAGTAACCAAATTTTCAGGATAATCCAATGAACCGTTTTCCGTATACGTCTAAGGTACCATCGACCGTGGGCCACCCTGTATATAACAGACACTATTTTCAAAAAATGTTTCATAAAACATGATGTTATCAATTATAGTATTACTATCGCAATGGCTATAGATATTCGGGAATTAGTGGTCACAAAACTAGCGTAGAGATACAAGCTGATTATTTTAAATTGTAATTTGGAAAAAAAAAACCTTTCGAGTCTCTTCAAAATCTCATGACTGTATTTTTTTTTTCAGGTTTCGAACCATATCCCTTAATGTTATACAATCCCCCTACGTACTACCCTGAATTCTCCAATTGCAAATCGAAACGATACAGCACAGGCTCATTGGTAAGTGACTCATTTTAACTTATGAAAAACCGATAATTTCATAACCCTCTAATGCATGAATTAACTTTTCCAATTTCAAAATATGTTAGGGAGATAATAATTTGACCTTTTTGTTCCAAGAAATGTGAAATTAATAAGAATTGCGATTTTTTAATATATTTTTTCTACGGCTATTACACAAGATTGATCTTGTTTTACATTCTCGTAAGAAATGACTATCATTCCGTGCTCGTTAAACAATATACTATTGTTGGTTTTCATTTTGCATAGAAAGACGATTCATTTTTTCATAAAATATAACAAGGAACCACCAACTGGAATTTATTCAAGTTATTCACACTCTGTATGAAGAAAATAATTAATTTTGACAAAGTATCCCTCTTCTTGTTTGAACCACCAAACACTAGCGACTGTCTACTCCCTAGAAATAATATTATACATATTATTTATATACTGAATATATAATATGATTTCTATGGTCTACTCTCAGAGGGAGGCTGATTCATAATAATACAACTGGTAATTTTTTTAAGGCACATCCTATTGTTATCATAAATAGGAATGCGTACCAGCTTATCAAAGTTCGAAATTCAAGTTGTTTCTGATGTAATTTGCCACGTTGGAATGCCAGACAAACCTTGATATATGCCGTCAGAAATCCTCTTGTAATCTCATCATTCTTATCAGCATGTTTTCATAAGAAAATGACGAAACTCATACCGAAAAATCTAGCATACCTGTAGAAATCAAGTGTTTTGTACCTACTGATTAGATCAGAGTGTTCAGATAAACAGAAAGACACGCCAGACACGTGTTCCAAGTCATATGACTAAATATAAGCATTTTATTCTATGCCTGAATGAATTCCATCGGGGCAATGCAAGTCATGTTCAAGTCCTAGACCTATTAAAAAATTGACAGTGGAAGATAACTGCAAAAGGTCCAGTTCGGGGTCATGTATAAGTATAGTATACTTAGTATAAGTTAGAAACGGATAGTGTGCCATCATTTCATGAAGCAACACCGAATAACAAAAGTGATAGTAGTATTTTGTGTTTCTATCGGCTGGAATGTAAATCCCTTATAAGTCAGGATTAAATCCATCAAGATTAAACTTCAAGTGGCAAAATAAAAATGATAGTTATCTCGATAGATTGGGATTGAAACCAGCTGAATTTCAAAAAGGTGCCGTTCTATGGACGAATGAATTTTGGTAGACATCTCAAGGTTGTTGTCTTGGTGTTGGAAATGGAAATAACAATAGAAAATAGAAGAAACGCCAACTATTTCGCAGTCCTCAAAAGATATCAACAACCATGTGAATAGCTATTCTCTGAATGGAATCTATGCGATGAATATTATGAGAATCCCTAAAATCACCACGTGCCATGTTGACAAACATTCGGTAAAGACTCGTTGGTAACTCGGCAACAGCGCTCTGTGATGTTTAACTACGAGATACAAGATGAATCTACTATGGTGTGAAATAATATCACTTTTGTCAACAATAAATAGGTAGGTCGGTAGGTAGGTTCATTTCATTTAAAAATGGTCGATTCTGATTGGTTCTCGAGAACAAGAGTGGGATTGTCTTTTATAAACACTCTTCTTCTTGCTCTTCCTCCTCTTTTCTTCCTGGGTTTTCACTTGATGACTTTGATTCTTCGCACTAGTGTTCCTTCTCACACCACTTAAGTATCACAAACAATGATTGGTTACCACATCTTTGATTCAAATCAATTCTACCCTTTTTTCTTTTTTTCAATTCTTCTTGGGTTTCCATATGATGACTTTATATCATTCAACCAATGTTTCTTCGACTGTAGTTGACTAGGTAATAATAGATATTAATTTGTTCAGGAACAAATACAATTAATACATCTCAAACAAGATCATGACTTTTTTTATGTTCTGGTTCCCACGAAAAGGGATATCCTGTAATGTTCAGAGAACATCGTGAGAACCAAAGGAAATAAGGTAGGAATTGTTGTTCTTCTTAAATTTCCTGAGCACACTCCTATGAGAATCTTGTGATGACTTTGGAATCTTCACTGAGGCTATTGCTGATGCCTTCTCTGTGGTTTACCTATGGTTGGTCCTGAAGTCAAACAAAACCACGAAAGATTTTCCAGTTTTCAGAAAACTAAAGCAGAGGTTTGATAACTTACTCAGCTTAGCTCTCCATTTTTAACAATTTCAGCTATATATTGCAGCACCCAAACATACCCTGAAACTGTTGGATTCTGTCCAAGAAAGGGCAATTCGTCTCGTGGGTGATGCCTCACTCACAAACTCACTCTTCTTCTTCTTCTTCTTCTTCTCTGCACAGGTGGGCGGGTGCGTAGACCCCTGCACTCAGGCCTCTTCAGTCGGGCCCATTGTGCGCCTCCTTGTCCTGTGAATCAGCTGGGCATGCCGATTTCTTTGACGAAATTCAGCAGCTTCCTCAGCTGAGTCGCTTTCACATCCTTTGGGTGCAGTACAATGCTCCCAAAGGCAGCTTTTCTCTGATGCACCAGCGCGGGGTATTCAGTGAGTATGTGTGATGATGTTTCATCATCCTCCAAGCACCATCTGCAGATGGGATCATCTTTGATCCCTATGAGTTCTAGGTGCCTGTTTAGGGGGTTGTGCCCAGTTAAGATCCCAACTACCATCTTGAGATCCCTTCTATTAAGTGACAGGATCTCTCTCGTGAGCCTTTTTGAAGGTACCTTAATATGGAGCTTTGATTGTCTCATTCCTGGTGTGTCCCGCCATGTTTCAAGGAACTGCCTCTGTAGCATTTCCTTCATGAAGGACATAGCCGTACTATTGGGTATTCCCAATATCGGTTCTGGTCTCATTCCTGGTGTGTCCCGCCATGTCTCAAAGAACTGCCTCTGTAGCATTTCCTTCATGAAGGACATAGCCGTACTATTGGGTATTCCCAATATCGGTTCTGGTCCAATGGGATTCCTTCCTGAACCGATCTTGGCTAGTCTGTCTGCCTCCTCGTTCCCCGGGATACCAGAGTGTCCTGGAACCCACATGAGGCTGACTTTACTAGTTTTTGTCATATTTTCTGAGGCACTTCGACCCTCGGACACCAATTTAGTTGTGATCCTATTGGATCTCAATGCCATAATAGCAGCTTTGCTGTCCGAGCATATGGTGACTGGTCCACGTCCACAAACTCACTCACTTCTCTGGAACACCGTAAAAAAGTTGTCGATTTGGCCCTATTTTATAGATATTTTCATGGACGATGCTCTTCTGAAATATCAACAATTGTTCCTCCCTTGGCAGTCCCCGCGATATTAACCCGTCGAGTTGAGGCTTCGCTTCCCTTCGTGGTCACTTTGGAGGCCTGCAGAACATCTCTTTCCAAAGACTCGTTCATCCAACGAACAGCGAGGCTCTGGAACACATTGCCAAGGGAGGTGCTTTCCGAGGCATATAAGCTCCAGAAATTGAAGAAGAAAACCAATTCCTACCTTATTTCCCTTGGTTCTCACGATGTTCTCTGAACATTACAGGATATCCCTTTCCGTGGGAACCAGAACATAAAAAAAATATAGTATTCAAGTTTTTATTTGCCTTTATTGAAGTTGCACCTATGGTTAGTGATTTTTTTCTCTGTGTGGTAAATTTCGACAGATTGTATGAGACTGTGACCTTTCTGAAAAATAATAAAACTCAGAACATCAGTGTGGAGACTAAGAAAGAAAAATGAAAAAAAAAAATCACTTCACTATAGCCCAGTGGTAGTTCAATATGTTCACGCACCTAATCTTGTAACCTCTAGATTTTCGGGGTCTTCCGAAATTCGCATCGAACTTAGTGATAAATTTAGTGACGTATCATTCCAGAATGTGTGTCAAGTAAGTGACGAAATCGTAGGGAATTTATATGGCTAGTTGTTACGGTGTCATTTGAGTTTGCTGTGATAGATGGACTGGACACCTCTAGAGACCTTCGTTCAATTATAGAAAAGTCATTAGGTTGATTAACAAGGACAGGTAGCCGATAAAAATACTCCAGTCTCCCGCCGTGCTATACAGGACGTCCAGTACTCGGGAATCAGACAGCACAGTATTCGTTTGTCATGCAGACATTTCATAGATAACTGTGGTTCGCTAACAATTGTTTTTCTCCTATTTTGGTCAGAGAACATCAAGTTCAAAGTGACCTAGTACCAATTTCAGTAAAATATTTTCAAGTTCCACCAAACTTCAGCTTTTGTCATTGAAAACCACCGAAATTTTGGAGAAGCAGTACTTACTATATTTCCACTTTATTTGTGAAGCCGTGAATACGTAAATTCGATTTAACATAACATGAATGCATGAATTTATTGTTTAAATATGCTGTAATACTTCGAAAAAACACCATGTATTTCATGGAAAGTTCAAACAGCGATCGGCGACACTCGTCTATCCAGTACTGACATCGTAATCTCTTTTGCTGTGTTGCCAGCTATTTTATTTCAAGAAAAAATCAAGTGAATGTTACTCAATTTTCGAATCTTGAATTGTCGAAATAATTCGATATTCATTGATGTAGCAATGTCACCAAAAAACGTTTTACCTCCATTGCCAAATCTACAAGTTAATAGCTTACATGATTACTAATCCTTAATTATACGTATATACCAAGGATTAAATAATCTGACTGAAGATTTTGGTAACCTTACCATTTCATATAACTTCAAATTCTGATGACATCAATTTATATCTTTGTCATAATATGGCACAATCTAGTTTATAATGAAATAGGAACAAGGGAGTTTTAAAGTGTCTTGCTATAAGTTCATTCATGACATTGTTGAAATCAGTTAAATCTTGATAGCGATGAATGTTAAAATATCCAAACAACCTTAAGAACCCGTTGAGACGGCAACGCTGTGAATAGGGAATTATAGATTTTCCTCGAGTACCAATAAACGGTCGACGCCGTTATACAGTGCTTTTCTTTAATGATCTTCCCCCCCTTTTATTTTTTGAACGGGTCAACTGAAA